GTTTTGTCCTTCTGCCTACAGGTGAATACTTTCTTGTTCCAACTGGCTTTTGGAAACTGACTGTTTTTAAGGAAAGGGCTGGTGCATGAGTAATTTTCCTTCACACTACTAGGGTAAGAGTAGTTTCCCCTCACTCCAGTAATGGTTTCTTTTCTACTTTGTTAAACACCAGGAATCCTCTTAATTTTGGAAATTTCTATGGCTTTACCACCAGACTGGAAGAGAATCTGCAGTGCTAGGACATGTCATACTTTGTTTCTCCAAATCGTATGATTAGGGTTAAAAAAAAACCCCTGCATGTTAAATATATCAGGCCAGAGCACACAGCAACCAGCACCACCTCATCAATATATAAATAAACCCACATAGTTTACCATGAACTGAGTGCTGCAGTTAGCAAGCTCCTTCTGGCAGAATGCCGGCAGAACCTCCACTTCTTCTTGTGTTCACTTGAGTAACCTGCGAGGCGCTAAGATGCCACAATAATATTTGTTGTGCAGCAAGATAGGAGGAAAGGAATGGCCAGTGGCCATTTGCTGACCTTGCAAGCCAAGCAGTAAATGAAGAAAAAGCCTCCAAGTGGCTGACAATGACCTTGGCTGACAAGACATTTGATATACCAGGCATACCGTTAAGTTCCTATTAAGGGTGGTTATACTAGACAAATAAATATATAAAAGCCATTGAGGACAGTTGGGGAAAATGAAGAATTACATGAATGGAACAGCTGGGTTTTAGCCCCCCCCTTATAGAGCACCCATATAGTACAATACTTTAGGAGCATGTGGTGGGTAAAGGCCTGCTGTCCCTACCCCATGTGCATGCTTAATAAGCAAGTAATCTTAAACTCTGCACCAAGAAAAGTCCAGTTTATGCTGCATACACGCTATACCTTTAAAGCATATTCAAAACATATTTTCCCCCTGAAAGAATTCTGGGCACTCCAACAGTTTGACTTCACCCTCAAAGGCGCACTCCTCCATTGTCTCCTGCGACAGATGGATGCCAACTCTGTAGTCCCCAATCCCTTGTTACAACTCCCATCAACCCTTAAACTACAGTGCACGGAATTCTTCGGGGGGGGGGATGCACTTCAAATGTGCTTTGAAGGTACAGTGGTACCTCTAGATACGAACAGGATCCATTCCGGAGCCCTGTTCGTATCCTGAAGCGAACGCATCCCATGTCTGTGCGTTCACAGCTCGTGATTCGCCACTTCCGTGCATGCGCGTGACTTCATTTTGACCATCTTGGCCAGTAAAGCGAGATGAGTGCCGCAACCCCAGAGTCAGCCACGACTGGACCTAATCGTCAGGGGTCCCTTTACCTTTACCTTACAGGAAACAGAGTAGTCAGGTGGTGGTGATCCTGCTAGAGTTTGGCTGTTGCAAGGTTAATAAACCAAAGATGGTCAGAATTCTGAGGGGCCCAAAAGCATCCCAGGTAAAGCTGAGGTGGCCTTTCCCTCTGCAATCCCATATTTGTACCTAAATCACAGGAAACAGGCTTATACCAAGTCAGACCACTGCCCATATAGCTCAGTACTGTCTACACTGACTGGCAGTGGCTTTCCATGATTTCAGGCAGGGGACAGTCCCAGGCCTACCATGCAGATGATCTCCCATGGAGCTACAGCATTTACACAGGCTTCTTTTGCCTGAACTTCATTTTAGAACGAAGCACAAAGGCTCTGGGAATTAATCCACCAGCACTATTAGCAGCCCGTCCCCACTGCCATTTTATAACAAACATTATAATTATAAAGCAATAATCATAACTGTAATTACATCTCATTATTACTCCAATTTATTACGGCACTATCACAATTGCAATGTCACTGACAAGATTCATGCTGCAATAAGCTAACACGGCCTCTTGAGCCTCGCAAACTGGGGCACACCCCTTCCGACTATGGGCTGGCTGCACAAGAGCAGATCAGCGGTCCATTTCACCTCAGCATCCTGCTCTCTGGCTCTGGCTGTGGCCAATGCCTCCTGCTTCCGAGGAAGGCATAAAGCTCCTGTAATCACCTAACCGCAGAGCCCCAAGCTGTGTGCATGGAGCAGATTTCTTCCTGGCGCAGCTGGTTATCGTCTTATGACCTGAAGCATGAGGATTAATAAGCCTTTTAATTTTCATTCTAGTAGCAAGTGTAGCTGCAGCTTCTGCTGATAGCTGCAGAAATATCTAATCATTATCGGCAGCCCCCTGCATGAACTCTGAATCAAAAGCACCACATCTCATGACAAAGGAGTCCCCATTTGGGGACCTGGAGCCTCACACACTTTAAGCTACTTCAAATGGGATGGTCGCTGCACTTGGGAATGTTCCCTGAGGTACCATGAAAAGGTGTTTCAGACTTCTGTGGTGCTGAGATAGCAGAAGAGAAGAACAAGAGTCACAGAAGGCTCAGAGGCCTGTTCTTAGAAATTGTCAAAAAGCAGTGCATGTTTTGTTGTTGTTGTTCAGACCATTGGGTTGTTGTTTTTTTGGGGGGGTACTTTTTAAGGATTGTAATAAGCACAGAAATAAGTGTCTGTGAGAAGCATTTGCATTGCATGCATGTGGAGCATGAAATAATCTTTACCAGGTGAGATATTGGCAAAGGACTGACCCAAGAGATACTTGAAAAGTTGCATTTGGGACGGAAGCTGCCACCAGTGAGAGATGTGTGGCTGCCACCCCATGTGTGTAGATTAATTGTGGAGAAAGTGATGTTGCCTTTGTGAAGTGGTCATACTTGGCCTTGTATGAAACCTATTTGTTGTTTCTCCTGCTAGGCTTCATTCTCAGTCTTGTTTATTTCAAGCTGTTGGATTGGGTCTATTGATTTTATATGAAGCTGCACAGAGAGATCCTTTTTTATTATGCATTTACTTATTGACACTATGGGTGATATCCAATAATATTCCTGCACTACAGGGGGTTGGATTCGATGACCCTCATGGTCCCCACTATACAAATTCTATGATTCTATATAATTATTATATAAATTATGTAAATTGCATAAGTTACATTGTCATAATATTATTCTACCCGAAAATGCAAAGGAAATGCACATGGGTGAGGGACGTAATAGATTATGTATTGTTTGCAAACTGAAAGCAGCAACAGTGAATACTGACCAGATTCTTTTGAATCACTTCCCCATTCAGGTCACAGGATGAATAAGCGAACATTGGCAATTTTTCTCTAGTTTCTGTTTTCATGGAAATTCTCTGACATCCCAACCTATAGGTTGCAGGTTTGATCCCCTTAAGAACTATCTCCTGCAATTCTGGGGGTTGGACTAGATGATCCTCAGGGTCCCTTCTAACTGCATGATTCTATGAGATGAATCTTCTATTGTAAATTCTACAGCTACATATTCCTGTGTGGTAGTGGAGCAGGAGAGACTGGAGGGGAGACTCTGAAGATAATGGAAGAGCCACATTCTCAGACCAGAGCAGTGTAGAAAGGGGTGCTGAGGGGAGCCTCTTCAGTAAGGTAACTGGTGCTTCACCTGAATCAGTTCTCCTCAGGCCAATATTGGGACCCTGAGGCAGGAGATATGACACCTTCTTCCTAAGAAATACACAAACATGCCAGCAAAACTGAGCACTGACTGAGGCCAAGACAAGAGGAAGGAGGGCACTCTTTCCAACCATTTTGTCAGTGGCAAAAAACATTCCTTTATTTGGGTGAAAGTGAGAAAAAGCATTTGTCCATGCAGAGACAGAAGACAAATTATCCAATTATCTTGGATCACCAGTCCAGGATTAATTGCCCTCACTTTCAGTTGGAGTCCACCACACAGTCACATCTGATTGGCTACGTGACACTGTAATGTCATGGAATTCACTATGTGGTCTTTCATTCTCTCTGATCACTCCAGGAAGGAGAGAGAAGCCCTTATCAGACAAAAAAGGGCACTAAAGCAGAGGAAGAGAGGGCAAAACAAACAGCAACAAAACAGGCTCACAAATAAGAGAATATGAACATTAAGAGATTTGGAGGAAATAAACTCCCACCCTATTTCCCCAGCTATGTTTTGGGCTCCAAAATCCAAGTGGCTTCATTCTTTGCTCTGGCTTCTTCTCATTGTTGCAACAAGCCACTCTGGCAGAATTCTGCATTCCTGCTGGGCAATGTCCTCTGCCTACGTTGAGGTTCAGTGGTAGATATAATGCTATCTCTTGCTCTGTCATTGCACTGATTCAAACACTTCATCATCACTGCAGTTTTCTGTTCAGCCTGTGCTTTGGCAAAACCATTTGTTGTCAGGACACAGCTCCTCCCTCTGTTTTTTAGCTTGCCCTTCTTTGGCAGCAAGTAAGTTTCCAGTGGGGATTTTTTTGCCCTCATCTATAGTTTACTTTCTGTGACTGGATCACTTGAGGGAAAGAAACAACTCAATTTTCTCTTTTTCTCACGGAACATCACAGAAGTTAGCTCTGCAATGAATAGGAAATTGTATTTCCCTGTCAACTCTATTTAGCATCTGACGCCACCAGAACTACCCTTTTGATTTATAGCTCTGGTTCTTGAAGGCACTGGCTCTTTCACTCTCTGAAGTGGCTGTTTCAAAAGTTGAGCACCTCCCGCTCTGATTCATCCCCCTATCTCTGCAAGACTTTCAGCTGGACATCATATATTCTGCATGCCAGAGAACATTCTACTGAGTACCTTAGTACATCCTTAGTTGGTCTTGAGCAATGAATCATAATGGTAAATGTGAGGCAAGTTCCATAGGTGGAATTAAAAGCCTGCCCCGTGTTAGCAGTACATTCCTTCACAACCTGGGGAAAGGGCACCCTGATGCAGAACACAGCTATTTTTTCTGCAATAAGCATTGTTTAGCATTTATTTAACTAAGCCCAGCAGAGGAACACAAATGTATGCAGCGTTAGCAGCAAGTCAGACATACCTTGGGATCCATAGCGATGCCTTCAGTGACAACCTCCTACTCTCTCTCTTTTTCTCTTGTTCTCTCTCTACCCCCCTTGCTTCTTTCTTCTGTTGCTAGGAAAGGACTGTTGCCAGGTGATGAGATGCTAGATCCAGCATGTACAAATAGAGAATCCAGAGTGATCTCAAATACGAAAGGGGACTCCCTTCACCTCCATGCTCCCAGAGAATGTGAGGTTCCGGAAAACAGAGGCTCAGAGTTGCCTGACTGATTGGCAGACAAGCTGCCGACCCAGACAGAGTGAAACCATCAAACTCCAGGCCGTAGAAGACTGCTGCCCAGCCACCATTTGTTTCAGTAACTGCAGCGTGATGGCACCTCCCATTGAGAAATGAATAAATGAAAAGATGCACACCCAGCAGGTGATGGGTAGCTGCAGTAATGAGCAGCACTGCAAAAGAATTTTTATATTTCTCTTGACTCAGCAGAGCAAGGTCATCCAAAGTTCCCCTGGAAATGTAACCAGAGTTCATTGAGAAGGGTTTGGGCTTGACTAACCAACCACATGGTTGGATCTGATGTGCATGCAGGTGTCCTTCCATCAGTGGGTTTATTTATCAACCTTTCATTCAATGCATGCATGTGTATGGTGCCAATGGGGTTTTCAAGACTTAACTATGCTGATTGTGCATCTCAGGGTAAGGGCTTGCCACTGCAAGCCCTCTATACACTACATACCCTGGATACAGAATGCAAGTAAGTATAGGGCTATATTCACACACTGTAGTTATAAAATGCTGTAGAATCAAAACATTCACACAGTAAACATCTGCGAGATTGGACTCTTTACTATCCGTAGCCATAAGAAACTGCTTTACAGACCCATGGTCTGTAAGTAGAGCTCTTAATCCACAAGCAGAGGTATTTCTTGTCAAATGAGATGTTGCAATGGAAACATCAGGATCCCAACCCTGCATTTCTCTTGTCATACCAGTGTGGGGTGGCAATGAGGATGTTTTTTGCTGCAGGGATCTTATGGGTAGGAGAGAGTGCTTAACCCTTCCTCCAACTTCTGATTCTCCTCTGCAACGTTCCCCACAGGTAGTTTTGAATCGTTCCCCAAGCTAGATCACAAACTAGAAGTCATTCAGGAGGACATTTATAGAAGATAATTGGTAGGTGCAGGAGGGGGTCAAGTACTCCCCTCGCCCTTGCACATTGAACTATCTCACCCTCCAAGTCACAACTTAACAGCCTTGCAATTCTTTAATTTAGAGGTTGCTAACACCAGGTAGAGGGCCTGATCTGACTCCCTGAGCTCACCAATTTTGAAAGTGGTGATTAAAAAAAAGTTGCCACAGCATTGTGGTGGGCAGAGCCCAATGCCCTGATGGAGATGCAAATCACCAGAATGATCATTTTGATGAGCAGAGAGAGTGACAGCCCCACTCCTTAGCTGATCTACACAGATCAACCACAGATGGAAATTCTCTCTCTCTCTGTGCATGCAAGGATGTGTATGCAACCATGGGACATGCAGACGCCGGAGTGTTGGTCACAGGTGAACATGCCCCATGACCCCAGAAGTTAGCTACCCCTGCTTTAACTGATTGTGCTAGGGAATGAACCTACTGCTATAGGGGAAAAGCAGTGTTATACAGAGGTGGGAACAATTAATAGAATCATAAACACAAGCCTTGAGATTCAGAGTGAACCAAGAGAGTAGAACTGAACATTACATGAACTCCCCCATCCTATTTTGGGATTCCAAAAAGGGCTTTCATAAATGTCTGCTCCTGTTAAAACATCTCAGCAGATGAGGCTATGGCTTCTCTTTGACTGACCATGCCTAATAGTATGTCAAAGAGCTTCAGCAGATGAGAAAGTGAAAAATTGTTACATGGGTGGGGAGAACACCCTCCTCCAACTGTTAGCAAAATTATTTTTGTAGACGTCTATAGCAATGATTAATTATGTCCTGAATATTCCCTCTCTGTGCAGATGCATAAAATTATAATCACTTACATGGACATTATACAAGTCGCTGTACTCAAATCTTTACTGGAAATACATGTGAGCAACATTTGTTTGTGAGCTCATCTTATTTTTTTCTGATGACCTTTTGAACTGTGTGAATTCAAGCCGCTACCAACACCCTCCTATCCATTATTCAGGGCCATTTTCCTTATTTATACAAACTCACTGGTCGATGCCTAGTCCTAAATTGGTGCAGCTACAAAGCAGAATTGTCTCTAGGCCATTTTAGGACAGAGATCCCCTCAGAGAAGAGCCAGGCATATCTTGCTGACTGTGCCCTTTTCTCTGCATGTGGTTAGAGCAGCTTCTGAAGGGGATGACCTGTCACTTCAGCCTACATCTCTCATCCTCCCCCCAGTTGTTCATAAGGCCTGGATAGAAAAGACACATTCAATAGCCTTCAGTCTGGAAAACTCATTCCCAGGCATTTGTTTTTCTCTCTCATTGCTAAGACATGATGTAGGAGAAAAGGGCATCTGATCTGCTCTTCCCATGCCCTTTGGACACGTTGAGGGAGCCCAGCAAATTTTGCAGCCATAAGATTCTTCCAAGAAAAGTGCCATTTCCTATGCCTAAGGCCCCGTAGCTCAGCATAGGAAGGGTTAAGCGCTATGTGACCCTCCACAACCCAACTCTGAGATGCCTGTGAGACATCTTCTTGCCAGAACTCCTGGTTCCCACTTTTCAATACTTAGATTTTAACTATGTGGGACAGCAGCGCTCCAAAACAATGAATGATCCAATGTGACTGTTCAAGTCTTCCTAAATGCAAGGCAAACAGAGATTTCAGTTGGAGAAAAGGGATGGTATAGAAGGGTGGACCTAGGACCGAAAGAGAGTGCAAAGAGATGAATGGCTTTGGGAGAAGAATGATGGTCAGCCTTGTTGATTCTTAGCATTCTGAAAGCTACAATATTTTTTTTCTTGTATAAAGCCCAGTAAGAAAGATGTGTGTGCACTTCTGTAAAGTGTCAAATTTGAAAAGGAGGGAAATGTTTATTTTGCAATAATTATGTGCTTGGAAGCTGTGCACTTTCAAACCTATGCAGTCCCAGCATATCTGAGATTATTTTTATGAAGGAAAAAAGTAATGTGCAAAGAAAGCAAGGCCACATCCACGCCATACATTTAAAGCACTATGATACCACTTTAAACAGTCATGGCTTCTCCTAAAGAATTCATAGAATCATAGAATCACATAGTTGGAAGAGACCACAAGGGCCATCGAGTCCAACCCCCTGCCAAGCAGGAAACACCATCAGAGCACTCCTGACATATGGTTGTCAAGCCTCTGCTTAAAGACCTCCAAAGAAGGAGACTCCACCACACTCCTTGGCAGCAAATTCCACTGTCGAACAGCTCTTACTGTCAGGAAGTTCTTCCTAATGTTTAGGTGGAATCTTCTTTCTTGTAGTTTGGATCCATTGCTCCGTGTCCGCTTCTCTGGAGCAGCAGAAAACAACCTTTCTCCCTCCTCTATGTGACATCCTTTTATATATTTGAACATGGCTATCATATCACCCCTTAACCTCCTCTTCTCCAGGCTAAACATGCCCAGCTCCCTTAGCTGTTCCTCATAAGGCATCGTTTCCAGGCCTTTGACCATTTTGGTTGCCCTCCTCTGGACACGTTCCAGTTTGTCAATGTCCTTCTTGAATTGTGGTGCCCAGATAGTGTCATATAGTGGACTGAAACAATCCAAAGTCACAATGTCATGCAATTGCGGGAGCTGTAGTTTGTTAAGAGTTCCAAGAGTTGTTAGGAGACTGGTATTCTTCTCCCAGAGCTACAATTCCCAGAGCAGTTTAACAATCAATTCCCATCCACAAGGGGCCCTGGGAGGGGAATATGGGGCTCCTAACATCTCTACATATAGTGGACTGAAACAATCCAAAGTCACAATGTCATGCAATAGAAATACAGGACGCTATCCAACTAACTCATCTTGTCAGTGTAAGGATTTGTATGTGACTTCCCTCTCAGTCTTATATTTTCTATCACAAAGGAGCATTCCCAGGACATTAGTAGCTTCTCTCATTGGTGTGTTGCGTGGATCATCAGCACACTGATGAGCAAATAGGAAATGGAGGCTTGTACTATGCATTATATGGCCACCATGCGGTAAGTCAGCTCCTAGAAGGTATTTCCAAAGATAAATATGATAGGTAGACCAGCTCTTAGGCGCATACCAGGAGAGTTGATGAAGAGACTTCAGTCTCACTTGCTAACAGTGTTCCTCATCACCTGAGAGCTGCTGTTTGAGTTAGTGTTGTCATGAACATCCTGAAAGCAAGTACTGCTGGGTGGGGCCCCTAAGGCAGGTGGTAACAATTACAGTGGTACCTTGGATTACATACGCTTCAGGTTACATACGCTTCAGGTTACAGACTCCACCAACCCAGAAATAGTGCTTCAGGTTAAGAACTTTGCTTCAGGATGAGAACAGAACTCGTGCTCTGGCGGCGCGGCGGCAGCAGGAGGCCCCATTAGCTAAAGTGGTGCTTCAGGTTAAGAACAGTTTCAGGTTAAGAATGGACCTCTGGAACGAATTCCTGTATTTTTCGCTCAATAAGACGCACCAGACCACAAGACGCACCTAGTTTTTGGAGGAGGAAAACAAGAAAAAAAATATTCTGAATCTCAGAAGCCAGAACAGCAAGAGGGATTGCTGCACAGTGAAAGCAGCAATCCTTCTTGCTGTTCTGGCTTCTGGGATAGCTGCGCAGCCTGCATTCGCTCCATAAGACACACACACACATTTCCCCTTACTTTTTAGGAGGGAAAAAGTGAGTCTTATAGAGCAAAAAATACGGTAAGTACTTAACCCGAGGTACCACTGTAGTCTCCCAAAGTGGGAGCATGTGATGAGTCTGGCTGGTTGCCAGCATCCCCCCCAACTTGTATAAATCTGTGAGTTAACCTGCCAGGGGAGAGAGAGAGAACATGTCATGTTGATGTTCTGTAGCTGTTGTGGTTCGAGGACCCGATCCCCGCGTAGTGGAATGAAAACACGAGGACACGTGATATAAGGTTAATGGGCAAGAAAAGGCCACAACCTTATTGATTACACCAAGTGAAAAGGTATTGGCTTAGGCATTGGATTACGACAGCTGACTCCACCCCCTCAGAGAGGGGTGAGTCTAAAACAGGGGGGTTTATTCACCAGTAGGTGGAGCCTGTTGATGCTAATCCAACTATAAGCTCTCCCCTGATGTCACCGAGGGTCGTGCCATGGCCTCCCGCCAAGCAGGCATCGGACAGAATACACGACGGCCAGATTCCTTTAACGGAACACCCAAAAATTGAAGGCATAGGCGATGGCCACACCTAGCCCTTCAACACACCACAACACATTATTCCAATGCCTAACCTACCCACCAATACCACGAAAGTTGTGATGACTGCTACGAGGTAGGCGAAAAAACCAAAAAACCAAAAAGCCTAATGCCAAATGGAAAAATTCCTACCAGGCCCCCCGGACAACCAGGGCGACCAACCTAAGGTCCATAGCAAGGCCAAAAGAAAACTGAGACCCTGAGTTCTAAGGGAGTGGAGGGTTGGTGACTCGCGACGGGATGACGAAAAGTGAGGCCGGATGGCTGGTGCCGCAGCAATTTGGGCTGCTAAACACGCCCTCTCACAGGCACCTGGTTGGGTGCCTGCCCGTGGGCGTAGGCCAGCCAGGTGAGTGGGAGGCAGGGGGCTAATGCCCCCTGCTTGAGGCGGAGTCCGGCTCCCGACCACAACCACTCCCCTCTCTTGCAGGAGGAGAGTCTTTGCCAGAAAAGAAGCCCATAAAGCCTGGTAACCCGTTTGGTGTGATTGATTAGCAGCTTAGAGGGAGGACTCGGGAAAGCGACCCCCTCTTGACAAGTGTCTCATTCCTCTTCCTGCTCAAGTCATTTTCCTAAGACATTTTTGCCAAGCCTTAAATGTCACTTCCTTTAACCTTTTTCATATCCTCACCCTGCACTATGTCGTCAAGCTCAGATTGGGTGGCATGTCTACAGGGGGGCGGAGAGCACTTGGCACTGTCTATGCTTCTTTTGATTCCTACAGCAGAATTTCCATTGACCTCAGTGGAGGGAATGGCTCATAGGTGCTGAAGAACACTATCTGGGGTCAGGGAGCCACTGAGCTGTAGTTAACAGAGTGTTGTACAGGGACTAGAAAAACCTGAGTTCCAATCCCTGCTTAGACAAGAATCTCACTCTGCATACTAGGACCTGGGAGTCAGGGGAGCTGGAGGCCATTCCAACTGGGCCAGAAGGAGGTGTGTTGCCAAACAAAACAAAAATCGAGTTCCAGAACAGCAACTTGACCAAGCAGCGCAAGAGCTTAATCAGGCAGTTCCTGTTCCCATGAGATGCTGCTCAGAGAGGGGAGCAAGCACTGAGGCCAGGGCTTTATAGGGTCTGCTGAGCTGAGATTGGCCGTTGGGAGCAGCTGGATGAGTGCCAAGGCTGGTTGGTACTGCAGCCTGGATAGCACTTTTGAAGTACAGGGATAAATCTACCAGTATATACTTGCAGAGAACAAGGGATATTAAAGCAAAGCAAAGGTCCTGTTAAAACAAACCCCAGGCAGTAAACTGCAAGATTCTAGCATAAGACAGAGCTATTCTGCCTGGCCTTTAATTTGAATTCAGCCTGATCTTTTATTTCCCTTCTCTTCCCTTCCCTTTTATGAAGATCACCCGCTCTGAGACCCCACAGCTAATTCTCCCCTGGCCTCCTTGCTGGCCCAAGTAGGACCAATTCAGCCAGCTAGCCCTGGGGATTATCTAATTGATTTTTTATTTTTATTGTTATTCATGTTTTTATACTGTATTTTATGCTGCTTTTATAATTAAGTGTTTTAAAGTGTTTCAAATTTGTTGTTAGCCGCCCTGAGCCCAGTTTTAGAACCGGGAAGGGCGGGGTATAAATAAAAAAAATATATTATTATTAAGAAGGTTATCAATGCCTATTAGCCATTATGGCCATATTCTACCTCCACATACCAGTTGCTGGAACCTACAGGAGGGGAAAGTGCTGTTGCAGTCAGATTCTGCTTGCTAGCTTCCCATGGGAATCTGGTTGGTGACTGTGAGATGCAGGACCAGATGGGCCTCATCCTGCAGGGCTGTTGCTATGTTCTTATGCTCTTAAACGAACAGATATGACACAGGATATAAGTCCTGGTTCAAGACCCAGCAACTTCCATGGATGACAGTGAGTTAGTCACTCACCATTCTCTCAGCCCAACCTACCTCACAGGGTGGTTGTGCCGATAAAATGGGACAGCTTCATGTATGCAGCGATGTAGATGCGAAGATGGCCAACATGTTTTTAAGAATCTGCAATATTTCATGATATTGAGGGGCAGGGAAGAGACCATGAGCATCCACCTGGAGGTCTGACTGGAGAAGCAGCTGGATGAATAACAGAATCCTCCAGCCAAATCTGAGAACTGTTTTAAAATTATAGCATTTTGTATTTATAGATAGGAACAAAGCCAAACAATCGCATACAGCAAAGGAAATACAGCAATAAAAGGGGGATTATTGCAAGCAAGGCTAAATTCTATGAGAACAAGAGACCTCAGAGTCTGTTAAGGCAAACATTAGATTCTGTTAAAACAAACCCAAGGCAGTAAACTCCAAGATTATAGCATAAGAAGATTATAGAAATACAATATATCCATCCTATTTCTCCCCGACTTCGTAAACCTATTTAGCACTTTCCCTTTCAGATAGCACTCCAGTGACAGGGATATTGCATTTTCACAGCATGTAAAACCCAGCATTCGCTTGCTAGAAAAATGTGATCCTTATAACTGGTAGCACATCCTTTACTTGCTGTGCACTTGCGTGGACTGCAGCTGCACCGGTGTAATGGACAAATGTTGGATAGTGCATGCAAGATCATAACAGCAAACGTCACCCAACTCCCGCGCCATGCTTGCATAATTAAGTGATAGAATGGCAATAGTATCAATAACAACAATAATGGTAATACTAAGGTTGTGATGAGCACTACTCCAGGCAGGACTGAGAACGACTACTGCCTGAAGCCATGGATGGCTGCTGTCAGTCAGTGTAGACCAGCTTTTCTCAACCTTGGGTCCCCAGATGTTGTTGGACTACAACTCCTATAATCCAAACCAGCAGGGGCAACATCTGGGAAACCAACATCTGAGAACCCAAGGCTGAGAAAGGCTAGCAGAGACAATACAGTGGTACCGCGGGTTACAGACGCTTTGGGTTACGTGTTTTCAGGTTTCGGATGTGCTGAAACCCGGAAGTACCAGAACGGGTTACTTCTGGGTTTCAGCACTCATGCATGCGCAGAAGCACTAAATTGCACTTTGCACAAAAGCACTGAATTGTGTCATGCTCGTGCACAGATGCGGCGCTGCAGGTTGTGCATGTGCCTCCTGCACAGATCACATTCGCAACCTGAGGTTCCATTGTATCAAGCTACATGGACCAATCTAAGGCTCGGTATAAGGCAGCTGACTATGTTTCAGCACTCTTCACAACATTCAAAATGATGGGAAATGCTAGCAAAGCGTGTCCCGCTCACAACATAACCCCATAGTTTTCTCAGGGAGTTCATCAGATGTAGGCAGTTCAAAAGACCCTCCTTATGTGTGCCTCAATTCACAGTCACTATGGATAAATTTGGTAAAAGCTTTCCTATATGGCTCTGGCTCCATGAAAAAAAATAAGAGAAAAGGCCAACTGTAGGTGGGTGGCATGTCCAAAGGGGACAATTGAGGTGCAGTCCCTTGGATATGCAGAGAAGAACCAAAACTGGCCTGCAAGTTCTCAGAGGACTGACAGTGACCCCCAAATTTCTGGTAGCTGCTGCACACCTGTTGTTTTTTCTTCCTTAAATTAAAATTGGAGGCATACTTTCCTTTCACATTTACTTTTAGATTGCAGAAAAGTAAAAATTGCCTGCTGCCAGGGGGAGCCCATGGCTAGTGCTTCTGCATAGGTGACTGTTTTGAGCAACATTGATTGGAAACACATTGGGCACATCCCTCTGAGAGCAGGTAATATTACAGTGTATTTGCACCTGGGGTGTTGGAACGATGCAATCACACCTGATTTGGAGACACTACAGAATTACCCACCTGCCAGCAGAGGCTATTTGGAAGGGGAAGAGCAGAGCAGTATATCATCCAGAATCACAATAGGCAGCCT